AACATATCTTTACTACTGTAATTGTTGTTTGCTTCGGATGCCTAAAGTTCTTCATTTTCTTTAAGCTTAAAAAATGATATGGGGAAAAGGGTACGAGTGATGGAACTAAATTTTGCAATATTAAAAAATGTGCACTGTTGCTTTAGGATTACCGAATAGTGACTGCCTCAAGTTCAGTTGATAAATACACCACATTAGGAAAAAGGGGAAATCACATTGGTAAAATATTCTCATTTGGATGAATTCTTAGCACAATTATGCACAGTGGTGAGTCTATACAGGGCAAATTGCTTTCCCTGTTCACTCGTTTGACCTGAAAGTAGGCACGTAATAAAAATATTATTAAAGAGCTTTTTATAGGCAATATAATTATAATTGTTGTAAGAGTGTTGGCAATGGCTTCATGTGTAAATTTTTAAGGTCAAACATGCCATTTTTGAGAAGGTAGATTATAAACACATTTTTGTTTGTATTTTTAGGTTTTTCTTTTAGAAACAGAAAGGAGAAAACCAAGAAAAAATGTAAAAGTCTAACAGAAGCTTGGCGTTTTGCCTCTTCCCTGCGGTGGGGGCGGGGCTTCTGCTCTTGCTGAGGTTTTCCTTTTTCTCTCACTCACGGGCTTTTGTCCCCCCATTCCCCATCAGTTCACCTTTACTACAATTGTCACATCTTGCTCTCACCTGTGTCCCCTCTCTGAGAAGTTGGTAAACTGGTCAGAGGGGGCTTCTCTTTCAGTGACACTGGTGGTGGAGGGGCTTGGGGTCGAGGGGTCTGCCAGGCACTGTGTGAGGATGCGACCCCACCTTGAACGGATTGCCGCTGAATTGTGCCACCCGGTCTTTCCCTGGATGTTCGTAGAGCTTCTTCGTTGTGCTTCTCCTATAACCGTATGTGTTAACCGTCCCTTCACTCATCAGGGTACTGATTTTTAGTTCTGTGATCAGGTTGTTCTTGAGGGTCAGGGACATTCTGGCTCCATCTTCTCCAGCAAACCATGGGGCACCCTGCCTAGCATTCGCCAGCATGGGCTTGCTGGGGCCTGGCTGTGCACTGCTCTGCCCTTCATCCTACAGGGCCTGTGGAGCCCCTGGAATGCCCAGGGCATCGGAGAGGCCGGTTTTAGGGACTCTTGGTGGCCTTGGGCAAGTTCTTTCCCTGGCCCTTTAAGGGTGAGGTGAAGGTCTGTGAAGGAAGTGTTCCTGTTGGGTTCAGTTCTCCTGCGCTACTAAAAGAGGCCAGTTCCTGATTCTCACCCTCATCAAAGAGAGGTGTCACAGGGCCCTCTGCGAATGGAGGGGAGGACCCAACACCAGGCATGCTTTTCTAGCCTCTCGACTCCAGCCAGGGTGATGGGAAGGCAAGGGATGCAGCAGAGCGAGCACAGAGCTGTGGACACCTCCAGAAGAATGCCACATCCTGCAAAGTTCACAGGAACTTCCTGTACATGTTCTACCAGCCTGTGTACCCCTCACGGAAAACCAGGCAGAAACAAAGCAAAAGAAAACAAAAACAAAACATATCCCAGAAGGCTGCAGAACTGTCAGATTACAAAGCATGTCAGGTGGTTGTTTTGTGTGGACTTTGGTTTTCGTTTTCTTGAATTTCTGTACCTCGGCAGAGCAGTCGCCGGCCATGTTCACGGGGAACGAGGACATTGAGCAGGGCCTGGGTCCTCTCCTCAAAAACAGTGTGAATGTCTTTAGCTCATGCACTTGTGAAAGCAGGTGTCATACATTGCTAAGCAACTCAGGCCAACAATATTGGAAAAATACAGCCAGTTTTTTGCTTCAGTGGGTAGACATGCTCATAGTTTCCTGTTGCAGTAATGCCTGGTTTACCTGGAAGGTCCAGGATCTGGCAAAGTTACCTCTGAGTAGGGCCACGAACCAGGAAGCAAGTTCCAAATGCTCAGAGACCTTTAGGTGTTTACTCAGGGGCTGTTGACTCTGACTTGATTTAAAATAATATCAGGTCATCTTCTGGTCTTAAGAACAGTCACAGGAAATGGGGAAATAGTCTGAGAATTTCAAGAGACACTGGGTAGTCCAATAGCAGGGATGAAATGGAATGGTAAAGTATGCAGAAGCCATGGGAGCCCTTTGGGAGGAGCTCTCAGGCCGAGGGTCACTGACACAGGACAAGAGTGTCCTGCTGCTAAGGAACCTACATTCTGAAGGAAAGCTACAGTTTGCGGTTGTTTTAGAAGACCTCCGTAGAGTGAAAGATTGGATTCTGAAAAGGAGATTACATTTCACCAGTGGGGCAGTTTACTTGCACGGAAAGACCACCTCCCCGCAACATGCCCCTCATTCCTTTCATGGTTGTATTCATGTGGACAGTGGGTTATGTGTTTCACATTCCCTGATAGAAATACTTGAGAAAGAAGAAACGATTTATTTTTGAAATACATGAAAGGTACTACTTTATTTTTAACACTTAATTTTCATAACAATGGGGATCAAACCTAGGGCTGTTCACGTGCAAGGCAAGCACTCTCCCCCTACCACTGAGCTATAGCCCAGGACTACTTGATTTATTTTTAAAAATTGAGTAAAATGATGGCAGGCATGGTGGCTCATGCCTGTAACCTTAGTATCTGGGAGACTGAGGCAAGAGGATCGTCACCAGTTGAAGACGAGCCTGGGTTACATAGTGAGTTTAAGGCCAGCCTGGACTGTACTCTGTCTCAAAAGCAACAACAGTGAAGAAAATTGAACAATTAGTGCTTTGGTCCAGATTACTAAGATCTCATGTCCCAGATGTACTTTCTTGCCAGCCCCAGGTAATAACTAGCCCTAAAGTGAAGTTTGTATCCCACAGTTCATGGCATTGCTCCTCACGGCCGCATAGGTCCTGGTATAACCAGTAATTGGACATTTGGATTGCCTTCCAGTTTTTATGTATTGCAGACAGTACTGCAGTGGATATGATTAAAGCTGAAACCTTTGGATACACCCCTAATTTCTCAGGGTATACCAATTTAAGGCTTTTGATAGGCCAGTGCACCTTCCACAAGGCTGTTCACTGTTTATATCTCCCCGGAAATGATATGATGTGTCAGTCACCCCCCTGCCCAGACTGAATACTGTATTTTTAAAATCTCTGTTGATTTCAATGGTAAAAAAACGTACTGCTTTGTTATTTTGATTCATATGGTATTGAGTAATAGTGAATTTGAGTACTGCATATATCTGTTAGCTGTTTCTGCTTTTGTTTGTGAAATTCGTGGGCACTTTCTCCTGCTGTGGTGCTGAGTATTGAACCAGGGACTCACACTGAGTTAAGTCAGCAGGCTGCCTTGAATTTGTGCTCCTCCTGCGGGTGTCTCCCACGCAGCTGCGATTCTGGGTGTATCCACCACCCTTGGCCTTTTCTTTGCCTTCTTCCTCTCTTTCTGTTTTGGATGGGTAGATTTTGATAATCCTTATTGATATTTAGATAGTCTCACTTTATTAAAGAAATTAATGCTGGATCTGGCATATAAAGTGCAAATATTGAGTCCAGTTTGTTTTTTGTTTGCTTTTTATTGTTCTCATGATAAAACTATTTTGGTTGCTTGAGAAAAATCAAATAGTATCCTTTCTAAAATACCTTCCTGAAATCCTTTCTAAAATACCTTTCTGAAAATGTAGAACTAAAATATTAGCAGAGTTTGCAGATTGCTTTTCTCCACATTGAACATGAACTGTTTTAAACTAGGACACATATACCAACTTTAATTTTCTACATTGATGAAGAACAGTTGCTTCATTTAAAAAAAATAAGATGTTGAATACCTGGTCTCCGTTAGGCATGCATTTTCTCATGTATGGGAGTACTGTCACTTTGTAAGGCTGCTTTCCTGTTTGGTCACCTGGGTTGCAGTAGGTGCTCATTAAATGGGAGCCATATTAACCTCATGCTGATGTTAGCTCAGCAAGCTAACACTAAATACTCCTCTGGAGGTGTGGACAGGTGGGTTTGTTTTTATTTCTCAGGATTTAGGTAGAATCTTAGATTATCAATTTTGTACCTATTTTCTTTTTAATGTAAAATATTTAAAGTCAGAAGTTTCCTGTTGTTCTTTGTTTCCTTTCTACTAACTGCTGAGTCTTCCCAGTGTCTGTTTCTGTTGGTTATGGGTCACATTTTTAATGTGTGTCTTTGCATGTGTGGTACAGGTTCTACTGTGTTGCGTGTCATGACTGTCACTAGAGTGGGATGAAGGAATTGAGTTTTGTTTCTGGCAGGCCATCCAGTCAGAACTGGATCTGCTGCTTCTCTAAGGCACCTCAGTCACAGGCCGGCTAATTCCATTTTGGACTTAGCCCGAAGGCATGGCTGGGACTCTCCAGTGGGTTCTTTAGAATGCATCTCAGTTTATCCCAGTGAGTTGTTTTTCTTTTTCTTTTCTTCTTTTTTTTGAGACAGGGTCTCACTGGCCTTGACTTCACTGTGTAGCCCACGGTGGCCTCAAACTTAAGGCGATCCTTCTGCCTCAACTTCCTGAGTCCTGGGATTACTGGCTTGCACTGCCACACCTGGCAAAACAGTGTTTTGTTTTTTTTTTTCCTTCTTTTTGCAGTACTGGGGATTGAACCCAGAGCCTTGCATATCTTAGGAAAGTGCTCTACCACTGAGCCACATCCCCTGCTTTCCTTAAAAAAAAAATACATAATTTAAACACTCTTTGGATTCTCTCAGCCTGTGCCTTTATCTTAGGATCAGGTTCTTGCTCTTTACTTTCTCAGTGAAGTTGTCCTTGGCCTGTTCTTAGAGGCACTGCTGTGAGTCACTTTGGCCTTTATGTCACGTGAGGCTCCCACAGAAGTGTGTTTTAATGTTTCCTATGCGTGACATAGTGTCACCATAGCAGTGCACCTCTCAGGCCGGGGATATAGCTCAGGGGCACAAACACCTGTCTGGCAAGTACAAGGTCCTGCGTTTGATTCCCAGTACCCAAAAAAAAAAAAAAAAAAAAAAAAAGGAATGCACTTCTCTATTTTTCTCTTCTGTTTCAGGCACTTCGCCTTAGCAACGTGGCGATGGGGAAGACAACCACGGGCCAGATAGTCAATCTGCTGTCCAACGATGTTAACAAGTTTGATCAGGTTAGCTGCACGTTTTCAACATGTGCCCCCTTTGTTCAGCCTAACTTGTTGGAATGTTAAGTTTTGGGTGTAGAGCAGGAGGTAAGATAGGGGTGCTTTAGTCTGCATCTCACTTCCGTGCAGTTTAGACATAGTACTGTGTGTTTATCCTGTAGATTAGAGGTTTTTTTTTTTTCTGTTATTGCCTATTACATACTTCCATAATAAATAGGCAGAGGGCAGTATTCGTGCCCTCCCTCTCAGCCACCTGTCTGTCTCCCGTGGACTCCTCCTTCTTAGCACTTAGCATGAGGCTGGCTGGATTGTCTTTCTGCTTTTCCTGAGGATCAACTCCTGGGCAGACTCACCAGGGTGGACACTCCCATTTCTGCTTCCGTGGTTTTAAAACCCACTGTGGTCACTTTGGCTTGGGTTCTCTGTTTCTGTTCTTTTGGAGCAGAATGTTTCTGTGCCACATTCTCTCAGGTTTCATTTTTATGCAGCCCTAAGAACTTGTCTTTTTCTTCAAAGGTGACGATCTTTTTGCACTTTCTGTGGGCGGGACCACTCCAGGCCATCGCAGTGACAGCCCTTCTCTGGGTGGAGATCGGGGTATCGTGTCTTGCTGGGATGGCAGTTCTGATAATTCTCCTGCCTTTGCAAAGCTGCTTTGGGAAGTTGTTTTCATCACTGAGGTAAGAGAAATACTGGCTTGAAAGCTATGTCATATGTATTTGGTGGCACCTACCATCCTGCTCCGTGCTTTTGTTCAGAAACAAAATAAGTACCTTTTATTATCCTGTCTTTGCATATGTGACAGGCCCGTGAGGCTTAGCCAGTGCGGGCCCCTCTGTGAGCTGAAGGCTGGTCTTACAGGAGAGGCTGAACATACTTGCTGGCTGCTCCATAGCTTTCCAGGCACCCTGGGCTCAATAAGTACAGTATTCCTAAGCAGAAATTACATCCATAGACGTTACTTAAGCACATATTAAGTAATAATAAACTCAAACATTTTCTAGGCCTGATTCTAACTGCATATATTTAAAAATTTTTATTAATATATAGAGTACATAATAATTACATTCATCTTGGGGAATTGGTACATACATATATTGCATCATGATCATTTTTACCCCTCTTTCCCTCCCCTCGCCTCTTGCCCCAGACCCACTTCCTGTCTCCATAGATTTTTATTAAACTTGTGTTCCAGATATTTTCTTACGTGTATACATATCTATTGTTTTTAATTTTGTATTTCCACTAAAGTATACACTCCCCGAGGACAGGGTCAATTTTAGCAATATCTTTATAAAGTCCTGTGGTCCTTGATGCATGTATGTTAGAAAATGGCTGTTGATGAAGGGCTTAATGATAAAGTGACTTAGGCCTTATCTTAGTTACTTTTCTTCTTGCTGAGACAAAATACCTGACACCCAAAATTAAGGGAGGAAAGGCTTATTTAACTTATAGTTTGTAGAGCTTTCGTTCCATAGTCATAGGCTCCAGTGCAGGGTAGCACTGCAGACAAACAGTTCATGGCCTGCAGAAGGTAGCAAAGCAACAAGCGGGGGCGGGGGGACCATGGCTCTTTCTATCCCTTTTATCTTATCCAGGCTACTTAGGGCAGATAGCACGCACACCCTTAATCCTAGGGCCTTTGATCCTAGCATTGCAGCATGAATCAATCCCAGTGTTACTCTAGATCTAGCCACCCTGGAAAAAGCTCCACGTATGAGTACATGAGGCTTTGAGGGGACAGCTAGACACCAACCATAACATACTTCCCCCGACAGTAAGCATGCCATAGCCCCCTCACTAGATTGCCTTGAAATTTTTTCTGCTAGATCAATTAGCCCACTGCCCTTAATCTCAGCCTCAGGCAGAAACTCTGGACATGAGCAAAATGCAGACAAACTTTCTGCCAAGCCATAACACACAGTCTGGAGTCCAACAGCCAATGCAGTCCTTCTTCACAGCAGAAACTTCCTGCGCCTGGTCTTTACTGGTAGAATTTCTGTCAGCATTCTGGTCTTCTGCGCTCTGACTAGAATCTCTATAAGTACAGCTTCAGGCATTCCAGCTCTGCTTGTTCAGCCGTCATCTCCAAACCTTTCCTAATTCTTCCCTTTCCCACAAGCCAGCTGCAAAGGCTTTTAAACCATGTAGTCAGGTACAGTTACAACAATGACCCCATTTCTGGTACCAAATTCTAGAGCTTCCTTTCTGGGCAAATTCACCTTTTAAATAATTCCTGAGAGAACATACCTGACACCCAAAGTTAAAGAAATAAAGGTTTATTTACTTACAGTCTGTAGAGGTTTCAGTCTATAATCAACTTCCATCCCCTATATCTTACGCAAACTACTAAGGGCAGGTAACACTCACACCCTTAATCCTAGGGCTCTCGATCCTGTCATTGTGCCATAAATCATTCCAGTGTCACACACTGTAGATCCAACCACCTCTGAGAAAGCCCCCCCATGACTCTATGTAGCTTTTGGGGGACATGTAGATACAAGCCATAACTGACCTGAAGCAGGTACAGTAATTTCCTGACTTAGGAATGAGTTCCATTCTGGGAGAACTTTCGTAAGTCAGATTCATTTATAAATCCATCAATGGGATTTTATAACTGTTGACACAGATGTACAGTGTAAGCATTAAAAAACCAAACACACACACAAATACTGTAAGTGAACTATTTTTACTTTTATAGTTACCTTAAAGTGGTGGTACAGTACAGTACAACTGTAAATAAACTATTTTTACCTTTACAGCTACCTTAAAATGGTGAGGTAGACACGTCAGCTACTTCTGTGACTTGTTCCCACCCACAAATGCTCCTAACACGAGGTCCATTTGCATCTGTGAGAGTTCGCATCACAAGATTCTGTAAATGAGGAGCTTATTGTATTAAGAATTGGAAGCGAGTCACTATCAGAATGGGCAGATGAGAAGCTGGGTGTGGTAGCAAGTGTCCATTATCCTGCCACCCTGGGAGGCTGAAGCAGAAGGCTCACAGATTCTATCTAGCCTAGCCCGGGCAACTTAGTGAGACCTATCTCAAAATAAATAAGGGCTTGGGGTGTAGCTCAGGCTGAAGCCCCTGGGTTCAGTCCCCAGTACTACCAAGAAAAAATGGGTAGGTGGTAGAGGCGCTGTGGCGTTTGGTATATGTTTGAGCTCTTACTTCTGTGTCTTTGCTCCTGGTGTTTTCCCTGTTCAGAATTTCCTCTCTGTTCTCTTTGCAGAGGAGAATTGGTCCTTATCCTGGGAGGCGTCTGATACTCTGATGCTTTTCTGCTCTCTGCTTTCTCATCAGAGTGAATGGCCATTTCCTTGCTGTTCCATAGAACTTCATTCTTGTTTCCTTCTGCTTCTGCCAACGCATCACTGTAGATTCCGGAGCCCTCCCTCCTACCTGAGCGCCCCTTGGGGATGGGTCCATTGCCCCTGACTCATTTTCATGGATCCCTCAGGGAACACTGCAGATGCTCCAAAGTACTTCTGGAGTTGGAATGACTTGTTAACTTCATAATTGCAGTGCTTTTCCACTGGTATTATGAGTGGATCCTCCCAATGCTGTCAGAGCGAAAGCTAAAGGAGCTGTAGGGAATCATTTGATCTTCGGACTTTGCCTTGCTGCTGCTGCTAAGGAAAGGTAGGCTACTGTCGCTGTGGCTCATCTTCCTCATCTCTCCTCCTAGGAGTAAAACTGCGGCCTTCACGGACGCCAGGATCAGGATCATGAATGAAGTTATAACTGGAATAAGGATAATCAAAATGTATGCCTGGGAAAAGTCATTTGCAGACCTTATTACCAGTTTGAGAAGGTGAGTTTTTGTGGACATCCTACTGTACTGTGTTTTTCTATTTTCACTGACGGTGTTTAGAAGTCTTAGTGTGTTTTCACAACAGGATGAACTTAGGGTCCATACCACCCCTGCCTGCAGTATTAGCATTAAGTGGAATGCACAGAATATCATTTTAACCCGGACTTCATTTGCCATTTTCTTAAAGCGAGAAAGATGTGCTCCTGAGTGGGAACCTTTGGGGGAAGTTCGGTGTTTCTGAACATTCCAGGTCTCCCATCAGCAGTGATCCAAGATGTAAATATCTGAGACTATGGCATTTAAAATAAAACTAATTTATATCCAAGTGGCTGGAGCTCGGCTGTGCCAGACTGAGCCGAATGATATGAATGGGTATTATTCATTCCAAGCAGCTATGGAAATATCATTCCTTTGTTTTGCTTTCTATTGTTACAATTTTGTTTTAGGTTTTGACTTAAATATTTGATGAGGTTCTTTTCACCTCCTGCAGATGAGCCTTGTAATTCTCCGGCGGCCCTGGCCACCTGCCACTTGCGTCCCATTGTAGGTGTGTCTCCCTGGGCTCCCAAGCCCTCTCCCCTTCAGTCCTCTCTGGCTCCCACCAGCCGTGCAGCCCTCGCTGGGCCCCCCATTCCCAGCCACCCGCCTCACCTCTGTCATCAGGGAGGTGCCCGTGCCAGGACTCAGGCTTACAGATGTCTGTTGGGTGAATTCGTTTGACTGCCTGTTTGAAGCCCCACAATGTTACACTGTGCCTTCCGCCCCCTGCGGGTGGTGGAGTGAAGTTCTGTGTGGTCTCTGTGTGGAGGCCGCCACGGGGCTTGTGCGAACCATGCTTCCCTGAGGTCACAGGCAGCTTAGCCTAGCGGATGCCTCCCGCCTTGCAAAGGCACCGTGCACAGGGTGTGATTTCGTAACTCTGATGTTGACGCTCCGTGAAAATCTGTGTTCTACTCCCTTTTCCAGGAAGGAAATTTCCAAGATTCTGAGAAGTTCCTACCTCAGAGGGATGAATTTGGCTTCGTTTTTTGTTGCCAATAAAATCATCCTGTTTGTGACCTTCACCAGCTATGTGCTTCTTGGCCACGTGATCACAGCCAGCCGTGTGTTTGTGGCGATGTCACTGTATGGGGCAGTGCGGTTGACTGTCACCCTCTTCTTCCCATCAGCCATTGAGAAAGTGTCAGAGGCAGTCATCAGCATTCGCAGAATCAAGGTTTGGTGGCAAATAATGTTTCATGCTGTAGTTTTTAAGTAAAATGTTTCTGTCTCTTACGTGGTGTCGCTGTGTCCCAGTTAGATGAAGGTTAACTCTTGTAGCTCCAGAACAGGCAGTCAGTCCAAACTGTCACACACATGTCCCTGTCTCAGGTAGACTGTACCAAAAATAGCACTAGCATTGTTCATCATTTATGGGCTTAGTTACTTTACTCGTTGCTGAGACAAAATACCTGACAGCCGCAGTCAAAGGAAGGTTTATTTTAGCTCAGGTTTATAGAGGTTTCAGTCCATAGTCACCTGGCTTCAAAGCAGGGCGGCATGGCAGAGGGGATTCACAGAAAACAAACAGTTCATGCATGAGAAAGCAGCAAGCAGCAGCAGAAGCAGAAGCAAGCCTGCCTTTCTCTTTTATCCCATCCAGGGTATCAGTCTTTTAGATGGTGCCACCAACATCCAGCGTGGGGCTTCTGTCTTCAGTAAATCCATTGAGCCATATCCAGAACTATGCTAATTCCAATCAGTCGACTAAGTACCACGCACTCTTAATCCTAGTGTCACACACTCTAGATCCAGGCAGCTCTGAAGAGCCCCACCTATGAGTGCATGAGGCTTTGGGGGGATATCTAGGTACAAGCTGTAACATGGGCACAATATAAATAGCAGCTACACAGACTCCTGATAGATAATGTTAAGAGTGAGGAAAATACCTAAGAACAAGAAAAATAAACAGATTTTCTAGGCTGATTGCAATGAGTAGGCAGCAACTGTGTCCAGCCCTGGGTGGAGAGGGCTTCCTCTTTGCCCTGCAAGGAAAGAAATTGCTAGAAGGTTGTTGGTCTTCAGGCAAGAGGAATGGCCTGGACCTCTTTCAGTTACCTCTGTTTAAATACGTGTTCTTTTCTCCATGGATGTTTTGCTAATTGCTTTCTGAGTCTGCCTTTTTTGAGACAGGTTCTCACTTTGTAGCTCAGGCTGGCCTCAAATTCATGGTGATCCTCCTGCCTCAGCCTCGCAAGTGCTGGGATTACAGACATGTGCCACCACAACCAGCTGAGTCTGTCTTTTAGGTCCCAGTTTTATCTTTTCCTGTCTTCTTTTTGTTTTTCTTACACATGAAGAACATTTCTGTAGCAGGCTTGTTCCTTGTCCACTGTCCCTGCACTGGCTTTCCTAAGTAGCTACTCCTAAATTGTTAGAGGCAAATAACTCACATAACCAAGATAAGGGCTGGCACCTGCTAGGTCGTTAACTATCTGTGTCTTAATGAATATGCCTAAAATGAGCATGAACTTGCATATGCTTTAAAAAAACTTTTTGTTTTGTTCTTGGTTCTCAGTAGTATTGGATGCCTGGTGAAGTTAGATGACCCTGAGTGTGACTTTTTTGTGGGGGAAGGGAGGCTTGCTTAAAAGCTGAGTTTTTTTTTATGATGAGGTTCCTAGTTTATAAGAAAAATATTACCCAAAGGTAGAGCAGTCACCCAGAGTCAGTTCTGGTTCTTTGAGTTTATCATTCTTCCTGACAAAAGGTACCCATTCAGTTCAGTAAAATTTCTCTTATGTAGCTTTTGCATCTTTAAGCACGTAGCGACATATGTGGACCATTGCTTTGTTCTGTGTGTGCACTGTAGCTTGCTCAGGCAGGGGCTTCACATGTGTATGCTGTAAATCTGCTGCGGCTGCTGTTCACTTTGTTTGCTAATATGTGGGCAGCATAGACCAGGTGCTCCTGCAAGCTTTTGCGTATTATCTTATCCTGACAAGAGTGACAGGAGATAAACACTTCGTGTCCCTGCTGTACAGAGAAGGAAACTGCTTCCTTTAATAGTGTAAGGCGTTAAAAAAAATAGTGTAAGGCGTGCTCTGTTCTCTGTTCTTACCTAGCTTGTACTTGATAGAGTGAGGGTTCTGCCAGATACTTCGTTTCTTGATCATTGCTGTGTTGCCTGTACTGTTGGCTCAGCCCTTCTGAGATGCAGAATATTCCCCAGAGTGTGGTTTTAGTTATCTAGTCTTATTCCTGAAAACCTCCAAAGGTTCTCTTTTCACTGCAGACTCAGATTTCTAACTCAGGGTTTAAGGCTTAGTTGTCTGTACCGTGTGTTTCCCAGAATACCACACTGCCATCTGTGACAATCCCATTTTTAGGCCTTTCACCCCAGAAAGGACAGGGGTGCTGTCTTTTCTGTCTTTGATTTCAGCAGAGGCAGCTGAGCCCTCTGGTTGGCTCCCCTAACCCTCTTAGTACTTCCGTTCCTGCTTTTCGAGGCCAGTGTGAGCATTACTGGACACATTACAGGCAACAGACAAATACTGGATTTCCCAGCATGATGGTCATAGGGTATGTTAGCCACCTTTCTGTCATTGTGACAAAATGTCTGAGAGAACTGGTTTCAAAGGAGGAAAGATTTATTTTGGTTCACAGTTTGAGAGGTTCAGTCAGTGGTTGCTTGGCCCTTTTGCTTTGGGCCTGTGGCAGTATGGTACATCACGGTGGGAATGTGTGGTGGAAGAGACATAACATGCCACAGGGGCCTGGAAGCAAAAAGGGAGAGAGGAGGAAGCTGTATCCCAACCTTACCTTCCAGGCCACACCCCCAGTGACATCACTTCCTCCCACTAGGTCCCACCTCTTAAGGCTTCTACCTATAGCACGATGGGATTTGGAGGGACAATCATCCAAACCATAGCAGAAGGAAAGACTGGGGCCCAGCGGAGGATCTCTGCCATTTGTCCAGGTGCTACAAGACAGAGAAATACCTCTTGAACAAGCAGATTGAAGTTGGACATTCCTGAAACGTCCAGCCTTGTAGGGGTGGTGTCTTAAACCCAGGAGGCTGGATCCTGTCCAGAGCATGGCTGTGTCCAGTCTTAGTATCTCTCTGTGCCTCAGACCTGCCTGGTCTTGGGGGACCTGCTCTGCAGGGAGGGGCTGTGCCTGGTGCACCCTGGCATTACTGTGGTTTCTGCCAGCCAGGCTCTCAGGCTGTGTTGACAGCTGGGCTTTTCTTGGGTTCTGTAGATAAATGCAATCGTGGTTAGTTAATAACCTCAGTCTGACTGTGTGCTGGCCATCAGGAGATGAGAGAAGATTGACAGTGTGGAGCTTTCTGCAAATGGGTACTCATTAGTGAGCTGTGCTGTGGAACAAGTCCTTTATGGCTACTCACTCCCTTATGTCTTACAACTACCCTATCATTCCCATTTTACAGATGAAGAAACTGAGGCACAGAGTGGTTAAATGATACTTCCAAGTTTTCATAGTAGTAAAGACTGAGGGTTTCGGCCTGGGCAGTTTGTCTGCCTTGGGAGTGCACATTGTCAGGCTAGAAGCCCCGGCAGAGTTGATGTGGCAGCTGGAGTCTGAGGACAGTCTTGAGGTGGAGTCCCCTCTTCCTTGGAGGGCAGTCTTTCTCTTTCCCCTTGAAGACCATCAACTGATTGGGTGAGGCCCACTTACACCATGTAGGGCTTTACCCAAAGTCTGATGACTTCAGTGCTGAAACATACTTGTCTGACCAGATTCTGGGCACTGTGAAGTTAGCCGACACACGCCCTTTAATCTGATCTCTTCTTGGGGGCTCCCAGTGAGTGGCTTTGTCCTTATTTACCTTAGTGGCTTAAAGCCATCTGTGTATAGATTTCTTCCCTCCTTTAAGGTTTAGATTTCTGCAGGCCAGGTCCTGTGCCACATTCTTCTTTGAGTTCAGTGCAAAAGGAAACGCGTGGCTTCAACCCATTGCACCTTCCCGTCTTCATCTTACGTGGGTTATGTTAGAGGAGAGAGATGACTTTCGTTCTCCGCTGCCTCACGTTATGTGACACAGTGGCAGGAAAGGCGCCCTGAAGAAGATTTTCAGGGAATTATGGTCAGAATACTTGGGCAGGCACAAACTTTAGGATTTCTCCTTTCCCACCAAAGTGCAGCTGAACTGAGGCTTAAAATTCCTTTCCACGTAGCTGGGTGCAGTGAGATAAACATGATGACTTGCTGGAAACTGTGTTTTCTTGTGGGTAGCTTTGTCAGGGTGCTCTGTAGCCTGAGAAAGGAAGCATCTTTGGTTTGGGCAGGAAACCTTGGTCCTCTTGTGTCCATAGCTGGGGCGAGGGGTCTGTTCAGCAGTGGGTATTTTCAGTAAAGGTGGGACAAATGGCAGAAAATTAGAATGGTGAAAGAGCCGGGAGTGGTGTGCACCCCTGTAATCCCAGCACTCACGGGGAGGATCACCGCAAGTTTGAGGCCAGCCTGGGCTACATAGTGAGTTCAGGCCAGCCTGAACTACATAGCAAGGCCCTGTCTCAAAAAATCAGAAAAGAAAAGAAAAGAATGGCGGAAGAATATGATGTTGGTGTGGCAGGTGGATTCATGGAGGAGGTCTTGAAGGCACTGTGGGAATTTTTTTCTTCTTTTGGATCCTAGACTCTTTTTTTTTTTTAAACAGGCCTGTGCTACCACGCCCGGCTAGACTTTTGTTTTTCAACCTAGGTGGTTTCTATAGCCCATTTAAAATTTTTGCTTCCTCGTTCATCAGAGTCACCAGGGGTTGCTTATTAAAGCTCAGCTTTTATACCTCCGAGTTTGTGATTCACTGGTTGTTGGCTGCGGCCAGGGTGTTCATGTCTTTAGTCCGTGTCCTTGTGTACCCGGTACTATGCCACATTTGGGAAAGCTTGCCCTAGTTGTGTGTGTGTGTGTGTCTCTGTGTGTGTGTGTGTTGGGGAGGAGGAAGCACACAGGTCAAACTGTACGTAGCAAATGTAAGCAATATGAGCATCACCTAACAACAGTTGCTAGGAAAAGCACAACACTTGCCTGGACTTCTTTGAGGAAAAATTTGGAATGCATTCAATTATTCTGTATAGTAGTGGCAAACGTAGCTCAAGCCTGGCCCCATGATAGACGCTTCTGTACAGTGTTTAGCAAATGCATAGAAGTCTTTACTGCTTGCAATTTTTGTATCATTGTATGTATGTGTGTGTGTGTGTGTGTGTGTGT